TATATATTTGAAAATAAAACTCGCAACTTTATTTTTTTTATAAAAAAACCTCCCACCAAAACGAATTATTTATAAACTGAATTGAAAACCTGATCCTTTTTTGAAAATAATTAATCTTGTTGTATGTCAGTACTTTGTGATACTCAATTTGCAAGTGTAACTGTGCTGCCGACGAACCACAAATTTGTAGTTTTAAGAAACGTGTGACTTCAACATAAAGAAATTGGTCAACAATAAAATCAACTATAATAGATATTTGAAAATAATATATATTCTGTACATCTTTTCTAGAAATTGACAGAATACGCGTATCTTTAGCAAGCGACTTAAATTCTTAAAAACAGAAACGTGTTTTATTAGTTGGAAAGGAAAGTAAAACACGTTGTAAGTCAAGTGTAAAAAGACATATTTATTTGTTTAGGATCCAGATGTAGTTTTGTGCCAAATTTGAATTGGAGTGCATATAACAGATAAGACAGAAAAACTCAATGAATTAGCTCATGACATCTAATTTCACTGCCAATCACAATAAAATAAGAATTTTCAAATTTTTTCTTGTAAAAAATTTAATTTCTTAAGAATAATTTTTTTTCTATTTTTCTCCGTCTCGAAGAATAAATTTTGATATTGAAGTTCTTCAAGACCATCTTGGTTGTTATTTTCTTTCACCCATATGTGAACACTGTGCGGCTGTATCAATTTTCCCTGTCGCATTGGAAGTCAACCTTTAATTCTAAGTCTTGGGAACAAACTGTCCAAAATTTAACTCTTGGACAAAAGAACAAAGAAGATACAAAACAAAGGAATAAGGCAAATTTATTACACCTTCTACGACCTAATATACTTCTGGTGTTCACTATTGGACAACATATTACGGCTGTGATGCATCAGCATGAATCACACGTCTCCACCCGTGATTGAAGTTCCCGAGTATTTCCACCTGGTTGACATTAATCATTTGTTGCATATGATCGGTAGTTATTTAGAGCTTTGTTTATTGTATGAGGTTTTGTATTTTTAAATTTGTTATAATATCTTGAGGTCATAACGTTTTAATCATTTTATTTTATTTTATTTTTAAAAAAATTATAACTATAATAATAATAATAAAATAACAGCTGATATGTTGGGCCGACTGATCGATCATAATGACCGAATTCCTCTGACGCCCGCTAATTTAACACGATTTCATTCCAGAGCCACTCCCACCATAACAGTATCCGATTATCTTCGTCGGATAGTGAGATATACATCTACGGAGAAAGCTTGTCTCTTAATACTTCTTATATACATAGACAGAGTATGTGATCGTGACAAGAATTTCACAATCACGTCCTTGACTGTGCATCGTTTTATTATAGCCGCGGTCACGGTCTCATCGAAAGCATTATGTGATTCCTACTGCACGAATTCACATTATGCAAGGGTGGGTGGAATATCCACACAGGAACTTAACACCTTGGAATTAGAATTTTTATCACTAATCGATTGGCAGTTGATCTGCTCTGGAGAGACATTACAACAATATTATGCGAATCTGGTTAAACAGAATACAAGATATCGGAGAGCTGTTCCTGCTTCTGAATGTGACAATTATGAATCTATGGGTAGTGGTGGTAGTAATGAAACAGGCACCGACAATCATATTAATAACATAATGAATCATGTTGAATAATAGCATATGACATATAGTATGATAAACGTAGTGCCAAAGAAATCGATCATAAAAGAGAAAATTATACAAACGCGCGCTTGTTCATTCACTTGTATGTTTAATTTCTTTGATTTTATTGGTGCTAAATTTTTATCATAATTATTATATTCAGAAGATATGATGGTGAAGGTAGTTCGAGATGGATGAAATGAATAAATGATTGCTAATCGAAGACAAAGAGTTATTGTTGATTCAAATTACGATGCCCAAGCAATCAAAAGGAAAGCAATACCCCTTTAATTAGAAACACGAAAATTCTGCAATAATTAAATATTTCCTCTCTTGCTTTTTTATTTTTTCCTTTTGGTATTTTCTATTTTTTTTTTTGAACCTTTTTTTTTTTTATTTAACGTCGATGATATTTCCTTGGGTTGAACCTTTAGGTTGAGTTCAAATAATTTTTTTTAATTTTATAATTTGACGAATTCTTTTTAATTTTTTTTGCTTGTCATGATACCGATCTTGTACATATTAATTACATTAATTAAATTTTTAATAATCTCATACTTCTTTGTACATTTATAGACAAAAAAATCGCCCAAAGGATTGTCAGAGAACTTGTTGATTGATTGATTAACTTCATTATGCATATTAAAAAAAAAAAAGAATTATTCACGAGGTTGAAAATAAAACCATATAGTAAATTTGTAATGCAGACAAATATGGCTAGATTGGTAGATCGGGTTTTTTTAAAAAAAAAAAAATTAAAGAGATTCTGAACGCGATTTTTATGATTGCGTGATTAAATTTGTTACACAACGTGATATTTTTATTTCATTCTCTCAAGTAAAAAAAAAAACACATGTTTTAGTTAAGTTCATTGATTCGTGCTTACGCGTTTTTTTTGTTATTTATAAAATTATTGATATGATATTACTCCTATTACGGTACTCCTAATTAAAAAATACGCGTGACACAACATTTTTTAAATGACGCAGTTTTTCCAAAGGTTACTATAAAGATAAATCTTAAAGCTTATCATCATAAGACTACTCGTAAGACTTTTTTTTGCATTCTTTATACATTTATAGTAAAGTACATAAATTTTATTTTTAATTCATAAGTAATATCTCTACTTCTGGTAAAAAATATTTTTAATTCGGTGACCCTAATTAATAATTAATTTGGTGAATTAAAAATTAATCAAGATCGTCACTTCATTTGACACATCACGCCAACAATGTAAAAAAAAAAAATTTTTTTTTTTTCGCGGGACGCGTATAACTAAATTTAATTAAGTTAGATCAAAGTATCTATCTATCCATCTTTCCATCTATCCATCTATTCTATTTCAATTCATCATTTCCTTTTCTTAATAAATGAATACATATCTCTCATTTCACCACTTTTTTCCAAAGCTTTTGGTATTAATTTAATCAATTTAAAATCACATTTTTTTAACAAGTTTTGACTTTTCACATTATCAGTAAAAACGTTGGCATAAACATTATCCAATCGTAATTCCTTAAAGGCGATCTCATCACAAATAAAGTTCACGGCCGAACTAACGATACCCAAGTTACGATATTTCAAGGAAATGTAATAACCTAACCCGTATCCTTCATTGAATAATTTCTTATCTCTTTCATCTTCAAGGAAATTAATGTCCTTGAATGAATGTAACCCAATACATCCGATGTACTCATCATTTGATGATTTACGAATCGCCCATATATTACATCGTGACGTTGTTCTATATTCCGCAATGCTTTTATTAACGAACCATTTCGCATCCGATAAGGTGTAAGGATTTGGTAATGATATCGTACTCTTGTGAATGTCAATCGAGTTTATATTCGTCGATTCTAGTAACGAAACAATTTGTGGTATATCTGATGTTCTTATTGCCGATAAATGAAATTTTTCCGTGGTTTTGGGAAGGATTAACTCGTATGGTCCTATGAATTTGATTTGTTTAATTGGAGAATTCATAACGAGATACTTAAAAGCGAACGAGTATCTGTAAAGCAAAAAATTTTTATTAAAAAAAAATTTTTTTTTATTCGGTGTCTCGGATTTATTTGCTGCGAAAGTACAGAGATGACGTTTAATATTAAGGATCACATGAATACATTCTCAGGTCACATGGTTATACGAATTAACTAACGCTTTAACTTTTTAAACTTTATTATCAATAAAACCCCTTAACCCCCCAAAACCAAATATTACGAACCATCAATCATTGATGATACGATCTATATAGAAGAGAAAGAAAAAAAAATTGTAAAAAGGAAATTTCTATGTACAAGGATGATAGAATGGTACCAAATTGTGGTGTATGTGTAAGTAATGTATGTAAAAAGTGAATTGGGTGAAATATATATATATAATATCAATATGATGTTATAAAATAGTTCTATGCCTATGAACAATTGTTACAAATATTATAAAAGGTAAAGAAAAATTCATATGAAATAATATATAAAAACCTGTAAGTATACAAATATTTTTAATGCCTGATATCCTTCTCACTTATAATACCCATTTTGAATTGAATTATATATATAAAATATATATGAATGTGTAATTTTATATATATATTAAAAAAAGGGGGGAACTGTAATAAGCCAATGTTTTTTAAATAAGGCTTTCCTCTAAGTGTAATAATGTTTTTTTCGTTAATCTTCTCGTAACCAAGGATGATTCAAAACATCGTCGATTGACGGACGTTTTTCTACATCTCGGTCAAGCATACACTTAATAAGGTCAATCGATCCTTCAGATAATATATATGGGATTCTCAAATCCCTTGCGATTATCTCATCAATGTTATAGAAAGGATTTTCTCTGTAAATAAGGGTGTATAACAAAATCCCTAATGCCCATATATCTTGTGGTGGACCATCGTATTTTTTACCCGTTAAAACCTGTAATTAATTAAAAAAGTTGAATATGAATATTCTAAAAAATATATATATATATATATATATTTCTTAATGTTGAATGGTTATTACCAACCTCAGGTGCTGCATAGTCGATAGTTCCGCAGAAAGTATCATATTTTGTTTTCTCTTTAAGATATGCGCTGGAACCAAAGTCTATCAATTGAACATTTCCATTTTCATCAAGTATCACATTCTCATCTTTAATGTCACGATGCACGATCTTATTGTGATGCAGATGTTGAATTGCACGTGAAACCTGACGGAAAATCGACTTGACTTCTGCTTCAGACATAGTATTATTCAACTCGATATAATCAAAAAGATCCATTCCTTCCCCATGCAATCCCATTTCAATGTAATAATATTCGTCGTCTTCAAAGTAGTCAACTATAATTAAGAATCGATTAAAAAGATTTCAAATCATGTGTTAATTAATTTCCATTATGACCTTTACTTACCCATTTGAACGATATTTGGATGCGGTAGACGTCTTAGAGTATGAAGAATATGAATTTCTAATGGAACAGTGCCGAGTGACTTATCACGAGTCCAACAATCCACCAGTATTTTTGATTTGACGACAAACTTAAGTACAACTCTCTTCTAACAAGTTCAAACGGATATAAATATATAGGTTAATTAAATGTAAATGAATAAATATTTTCGATACATAATGTAATGATAATGGATGGATACCTTTTCGGGGTCATTTTTGTTATATGCTAAATTTACTTGACCATAAGCTCCTTGACCCAAATTATCCACAATTATAAAGTCGTTAATAGACTTTGTTAATGTTATTGCCGAGTATAACATTGGATCAAAAGACTCGGGCGCAGAGGATATTGAAGGTGGACGTGTTATTTTTCTGTTATCAGTAGATAAACGCTTCAATGGTGGGGGTTTTCCACCAGCCGCAATGAATTTTGATAGAGGGAATTTTTCTTCCTCATCTTGCTCGTTTCTATCTAATTGTCTAGATGGTTTAGAAACTTCGTGAACATGATTATTGTATTCTTCTTGTTTCTTTTCGTAAGCGATTGGCATTGGGACCGAACTATTAACCTCCAATGATTGGTCTTTTACAAAATTTACGTTACGATCATAGGTAATCCATAACACATGCAGGGGTTCATCTGGTGATTCTACAACTCTCATTTGAATATCTACATCAAATCTTGTACCGTCCCGATGTACAGCTATTATACCGGAAGGACCTTGTCCTGAAACGTGAAACTCTTTACCGGGAGTGTACATTTTCGAAATGAATGAAGCAGCTCTACGGAAAGCATGTTCGGTAATTAAAATGCCTTCTACAAGAACTCTCTCTGAGGTCAAATATTCAACCAGTCGAGGAAATTGTGGTAAAAGAGATTCGATATAACGTTTCCCAATTAATTCATGAGCACCAACACCGAATAAGTATTTAACGAAATCAGAATTACACGATTGGATGACCCCAGTCTTGTGTGCAGTTATAACACCAGCAATGGTAGGAATGGATATGATCTTTAGTCGATAAAGTGTACATGTATTTTCATCATCTTCTGTTTCTTCTTGAACGGATTGTAATGAAATTTTACCAATTATTGGAAAATTGCCATCATTCTTTGAACGACTACCGTAGAATTTTGTTTTATTTATTTTTTCAATGTCTAATGATGAATTCAATTTAACAGGTTTATCAATGTCCATATCATCGTTAGTGTTGTCATCATATGAGGACCCAACAGTCTCAAATGCCGGAATTAATGTGGTAATACACATTCCGATAATTTCTTGAGATGAATAATCATACAAAGCCTTTACATCTCCCGAAGCTTTCCTTATTATACCCTAATCACATTAAATAAATTAAATTTATGTATATATATTATATAAGGCATCCATGCATGCTTAATTTCCCGATTATGAAAGTTGAATGGCTTACCCTCTCGTCAATTTCTGCAGTCATCATTGTTTCAACAATTTCTTCGAAAATCCAGATAAAAACTGATTCTCCACTTTCATCCTTTTTCACCTTTAACCATAATGAAGCAGCGGATGTTTCTTCATTTTTTCTTTGTATTGGTATCTGAATAAATAAATTTTTTGTTAAAAATAATAATAATAATAATCAATCAATCAGAAGAACATTCGAGGAAAAATTAATTAAAATTAAAAATTCTTTACACACCACTTTTCCGCAAGCCAATACGACTTCACAATTATCGTCATCATTTTGAGGCCTAGAGGCGAGGGATCGTTCCTGTTTTTCCCGAAAGGGACTGGCAATCAAATCCAAAGCTCTAATACTACTTAACTCAGTTCTTGAGTAACCAAATATCAAGCAAGCAATGTCATTTGCACATAAAATGTTACTTAGACTATTAGTTGTAATGATAGCCTGACTTTGAGGAGTGAATCTAGTTGGAGAATGTAAGGTTGAAGTATTCATACTAGTATAAAGTGATGGAATGTCAAACGCTCCTTTAAATTTCCGAGATGACCCTAATTCATTAATATCACAAATTGACTCTGAAGGAAGAACTATATCAGCTGATTGAAAAGTTGAAACAACCGGCGAGAATAACGCATTTTGTACTACGGGAAGTCTCCATCCTTTTAACTTATTCTTCATGAAATCGAATGAACGTCGAAGAATATTTTCATAGGATGAAGAATCGTTCGCAACAAAACTAAAACTGTGTAACGACTCGGTCGAAAATCGAGCAAGATCTAGGTGTTGAATGACCTTTGAACTTGCATTTGAATTTGACTGATCATTTGACATTGATCTATCTTCTCGAATTCTTCGTAAACCATTGGGTAAAGCGTTTGTATCATTGTTGATTAATTCTTGTTCGTTTTCTCTATTGTATTCATACATATATATAATAAATGGAAAGTTTTACAAATGATTGATCAGTAATAAAATTCGTAAAATTTATCACTAACACAAATACAAATACGTTATAATAAATCAACGTTACTCACTGGAGATATTCGTCTAAATCATTTGTCTCATGATAATGAAGGTGTTTTTCGGTTTGATAAGGTGACTCTAATTAGTACATGGAAGTAATTAAGTTACATAGTCGAGAAGCAAAAAGGCGGCAAAAATGAACTCGGTTTTGAGATGATGATGCATAATTACCTGAGACCTGGGTCATTTTCCGAAATTAATGAATGTATTTCGTTCTCTAACTAGAAATTTTAAACAATAAGTTTGACTAGAGTAAATTAAACACTAGTCGAAGCTCGATAGATAGAAATGTTTATAAATAATTTATTATAAATAATATGATTTGATACAAATTTGATGATTTGGAAGCAACAAAAAGAAAAAAAAAAAACGGATTTTCTAGATATTCGTTATATATATAAATGTGGAACGCGTTATATATTCCTAATAAGGAGTTCTATTGGCTCTTAACAGGTAAGCAGCAGCAGCTGACCAGTACCTGACCAATATTATACATTTATACAAAAAAAAAAAATAAAAAAAGGACAAATAATTGGTTTTAAAAAAGTTTGATTGCAGATGCAAGTTTACATGAAAGAGTATGTAAAAATCATCTGGTTTTTTTTTCCTCCCAAGATCGACATCATGAGATATCAAACAAATATCAAATAAAAAAAAAAAAAAAAAAAAAAAAAAAAAATTAAGATTATATTCTATCTCAAAAAAAATCATCTCATCGTTTATTCCGACGTGATGATGATTTTCCAGCCAAAACGGAAAACACAAAGATTTGATAAATTTTGTTAGTCTTATTTTTCCTTATCTGAAACACTGTAAAAAACAACGATTCATCATATGACCTTTAATAGACTATTCATAGACTTCATAGACTTGTAACAAAATGGATTATTTTTCACATGACGTTTCAAAAAGGGAAATATTCAATTATTACAGGTAATTTACTATAAACAGGAAATGAAACAAAAAAAAGTGTTTGATAGGCAGTGTTCATTATTACTAATATAGTTGGTTACAACAAAAAACGAGTTTTTTTTATTATTATTTATTTCAAAAAAAGAAAATTATTTATCGACTAGTTATTTTGAACAATATTTAAGAGAATAATATCATGGTCTTCATCTCGCGGAATTTTAACAAATATTTGTTTTCCGCAGCAATTCAAGATTATCCCAATATCGGCTAAATAGTCTCGTCGGGTTTTCCTTCTTCCGTCCTAATTATGATCACAGGGTCGGTCGGGTTATGATGTCAATTTGCCAAGTTTTAAATGTTTTTTAATTGGGAATTTTTTTGTCAATTCAGGAATTTTATCCGGCCCACAAAAAATAATAAATTTCTTTATATATATTTATCTAGTGAATACGTTTTGTCTAAGCCTTCATTAAATTCTCATCATAAGTACACTTACCAAAACTCCATTTTATAATTCCGGTCAGAAATTACATGCACCCCGAATTTTACAAAAATAACGTGATATTATTGGGCAGATATATATTAAAAAACAAAAACTCTCAATCGAATACATTCCAATTTTGGAGAAATTAATAAATTGGAGAATAGAGCATCGTCCGCGATTAATTCAAAAATTTTAGCCAACCTATCAGAAAATTTTCCATTTTCAAGATAAAAAGTGTAATGCTGACTGGAAGTATGAGGTGACGGATGATGTCACCACGAGATGATGATTATGTTATTATAGAACTATCTAGAAAATTCATTTTTGTAATACATATTAATTTTTATTAAGCGCCTTTTCTTATGCTAAGACTTTTTAGATCGAGTTGTTTATTGCACTATGGAAAGTAAAGAGACATATTATGAAATTTTAGGCATTGAGACCGATGCCTCAGAAGACGACATTCGCAAAGCTTACAGAAAGCAAGGTACGTGCAATTTAAGTTTTGAAAATTGATTTAGTACGTTTCGATCCTTACAAAATCTTTTTTATACACAGCCTTATTATGGCACCCTGACAAGAACGTCCAGAGAAAAGAAGAATCCGAGGCAAAATTTAAAAAGATCGCTGAAGCATATGAGGTTTTGAGTGACAGTACGTATCTTTACGTTGTAATTTCGTCCATAATAAAGTTTGCATTTTTAACATGATAATAATAAATTTGTCCAAAAGCCAATAAAAAACAAATTTACGATCGATACGGTGAAGAAGGACTTAAAAATGGCGGACCTAACGATGATGAAAGAAATCATTATAGACCCAACGTAAATATGAGTGAACCTTATTATCCGTGATGTCTGAACACTTTCCTACGTTAACGCTAATAAAATTTCATTTTAAAAGTATCATCAGTTTCAGTTTCATGATCCTGAGGAAATATTTAGGTCATTCTTTGGTGGATCATTTTCTGAAGTATTTGGTATGAATTAACTTTATTGTTCGGCCTTTTCTTTCTAGGTAAATTAACGCTATTTTACTGAACAATTTTTTAAAATTATTAGGTAGTTCATTCTTTGATACTGGTTTTAATCAACCCCCATTCGGCATGCCTTCGTTTGGTGCGGGAATACATCGTTCAACCGCCTTAAATGATCCTTTTCCTAGTCCATTCGGTAATAGTTTATTTGGAAATTTTGGAAATATGGGACTACCAATGGCGACATCATCATTTTCTTCGTCATTCTCTTCAAATTCATTTTCCGGAGGAAGTCAAGGTGGATTTGTAAAGAAATCCACAACCACACAATTCATTAATGGTGTCATGAAAACTGTCACTACAACGGAGGATGCACAGGTAAATAACAAAGTTTGTTATCATCATCATTAATAATTAATCTTCTATTAGTGAAATAATTAATCAATTTGACACTTTTTAGGGAAATGTGACAGTTGTCACGGAAACTTCTGATGGTCGACGCCAAATTCTCAACTCACGGTCGAGTGATGCACCGCATAATGTAAATCACGAAATTCAGGGGATACCCATTCAGAATGAAGGACTATCTCAGCCACGCCAAAATCAATTCCAAGGTCAAACCCCACCATATCAACAACAGTTTCAGCAATTCCAAAGTCAACAATCACCATTGCATCCATTTCAAAATCATTTATTCCAACAACAGCAACAATTCCAGCAACCTCAACAACCATTTCAACAACAGCAGGATCCAAACACGATGTATGAGAACTCACGAGGTAAATTGATGTGTTTTTTTTTTCCTTTTTTAAGAATAAAATTTCTTCGAGTTATTTTTAAAATTTCAATTACATTATTATAGGCGACAGGCATTCATCAAGTGATCATCATAAACATGGATTCTTTCATCGAAAGAGATAAATCAATAATTTATAATTCATTCACATGAAATCAACAAATACAAAGTCTTACTTTTCTTTCTTTTTTCAAAAAAAAAAAAAAAAAATTCATCATATTTTTCAATTCTTTTTTTTTTTTCGGATTTTATGTATTGTATAATAATTCGTTATGATTCTTTCTTTCTTTTTTTTTTTATTTTTCTTGTAAATTGATGAACATTTAGAAACAATACATTAGCTTAACTTATCAACAATATAAATTGCATCTTTTTTTTGGTTTAATGGCGCAGTACACGATAATCTTTTTTTAGCCCACATATAGCGCATTATGCAGGGTAATTAATAGCTTACTTGCCGCAGTCGTTAATTGGTATGAATTGTTGTATACAAACTTATTGGTCAAAATTTTCCAAAGCCAGTTGATGGGCAGAATCGAGTTGAAAATAAACAATTGGATTACAAATTTCTTGTTCGTCTTATCTCTTTCGCACATGTTTATATTTGATGAAGATTATGGTAGTATAATGAATTGTTTTGATGCACATTACATTCGAAGGTTACAACCATTTGATTAAAATAAAATAAAGTAAAATAAATAGGAATGTGGTGTGCAGTTTGATGCAAATCACAATTTCAAAACCTTACATTCTTTAACTCAAAAGAGGAAAGAGAGAACGAATAATTGAAAATTTCCTAGACTTTGTTAAAAAACTACATTGGAAAAAAAATTTATATGTATTATGAAATCCGAATTGATCAATTCTTTGTTGGACTTATTGTCACACCCATGACGATAACATCTCTTTTTGTTGTCTTATCATCACCAGCCTCATTTTGGACAAGATTTACCATGAAAAGTATATTTTCGATGTCGGCGAAATCCATCAAATTCTCATGAACGCCACAATATTAATTGGGATTAACATAAAAAAAAAAAGATTCCGAGAATTTCTTTCTAAGCCCGAGTAAAAAACGATAGTGATGTCATGTATATGAAAAATGAAAAATGAAGGGCATGTCCCAACGTAATCCAATCATCATTTTACTTTTCGGAAATTCATATGTTATTAATTTCAGTAAATGAAATCCCGCATGCTTTTGAGATCAAGTGATTGGAGTTAAATTTAAAATTCAATTAAATGAATGATATATAAATCACAGCATGACTTTTCCTATTCATAGGTTTACGATAGTATAAAGACCGTGCGCTTTTTAAAGGGCTGAGATAAGATATCCTTGGTTTATCCCATTGGATTGATCGAAGGGATCATACACAGTAGGTAAGCGAGGCGAAAATTAATGTTTAATTTATCCCTTTTTTTTTATTCATTTAAAAAATCTAAGTGTGGAATCTTTTTAAATGTATAAAAAAAAAAAAAAAAAAAGGTTTATTTATAGGTGACAAATAATAATAATAAAATAAAATCATCATGAAGCACATTGTCAAATAGATTGAACAAATCAAAATTCCCAAAACAAAATTCTATTTCATTTGTGTATATCCGAAAGATTAAACATTTGCAAATCTTATAGAAATTATTTACTTTATTATCAAAATATGAATAACAATAGGTTCAGTAGGGATGGATAAAAAATCTATATAAATGACAATGTTGTCCCAATTTCAAAAAATTATTCTTTCTTGTCGTATGAGTGTCAAGTTTGATCGCGACTAAAAGAATTCAATTACGATATATTATTCAAGCTTTTTGAAACGATTTTTCACATAAAAAAAGACCTTTATTTTTTTCTTTTAATATTCTTTCAATAAAATTACGTTAAAAACATAAAATTCTTCCTCTCTTTTGATGACTATAAGTTTTTTATAAAAAAAAAAAAAATTAAAATCCTTAAGATATTCATACGTTATAAACTTTAAATTTCTAAATACGTTTTTTTTTTAAAAAAAAAAAATAAATAAATAAATAAATATATGTGTATATATATATATCTTTATATATATATATATATATTCCTTAAATAAAAATAATTAAATATAAAAATAAAGAAAAAAAAAAGAAAAAATATATATATATATATAAAAAACAAATTTTTGGAGCTTCGTTAAAAAATTTGTAATTATTTCGCAGTACGACTCTTTCCATCTACGGCGTATCTCATTATATTCTAGATATTTTGTTTGTTCACAAGATATTTTAACCGGATTATTTAGGTGAGTTCATTATATGATTCTTTATTATAATATATCCGAATTCCATTTAGTTATATTATTATAGGCGCGCGTGCCTGCTTTCCCGTGCTTGGTTGCACTATTTTTTTTTTTCCAGAATAACAAAAAATGCACCTGTTTAAAATACTCTTAAAACCCTTAATTGTTTCATATATTTATAAAGGAAAAAAAAAAAGGATTGTAGATGAAAATATATACTTACTTTTTCTCCTATTTACACTTATACATATATATATATCTCCCCCGATTCCTGAAAATACAAAACGTACCTCTCCAACTTTTTCCCCCTCCCCACTCAATTTAAAAATTTTTTTATCCATCAACGAAATGTTTCCTACAATAATTTGTTGTTAAACAAAGTAAAAATATGAATCGATCAAAATCTTCAATATCAACTGAATATAATAATTTGGGTCTACACTCTGGTGCTGCCGCAGGTAACCTTGGTAAGTTTTCAACCCTTTGTTACATATATTTCGCGTGCGAATGTAGAATGGTAAACATTTTGGTGTGGCAACAAATTGCTCTTGTTTCGTCTAATTCACAGATTTACGAAAGGACGAATTCGAGTTTTTGCATTTTCAACGAATTTCAAGATATTAAACCATTATAATTAAGCTCTAATAACCTTTCTTAATGAATATATAGGATTGGTAAAATTTGCATTAGATCATGGTCAACCAATCGATTCCGTGTTAAACGGGGTCTTGCCAATCCATGTCGCGTGTATTAATGGAAATGTATCCGTAGTACAATACCTTATTGAACGGGGTGCGGACGTGAACTCTCCAAGGTAATAAAGTTCCATCATACGATTAATCTCTAATGCATGAATATTAAATATCATTTCCTGAATTCATTCATTCATTTATTTATTATTATTTTTTTTTTTTACCTTTCGTGAATTCTAGACTCTCTCATAAATATAATGGTACAGAAAAAAGTAGGACAACGGATCAGACAGTAGGGACAACCGGTTCGACCGCATTACATTTTGCTGCCGCGAACGGATGTACTCAAACAGTTGAACTATTATTAAAAAAGGGTGCAATTGTGGACGTTGCCGACAAATACGGTTCAACTCCATTATCGGTAGCAATAGCGAAAAATCATGCTGATGTTATTGAACTCTTGAAAATGTATGGTGCTATCCAAGCCGCCGAAAGACAAAAATGCATTATGCGTGATTTGTCTAGTTCTTCAGTACATAATATCCCAACCACAACGAAATCTTCAAAAAGTTCAAAAGATAAATCATCAAAAAGTGCGAAGAAGATTAAGAAACCCACTATTTTATTTCCAACTCCAAAAGATCATTCACCTTCCAAATTTAATTCTAAATCGCACAAAACGCGTCGACCCAGTTTGCCCGTTCAATTAACTGAATCAAATGAACTAAATAACGATTCTACGGAAAGTGTACTTTTAAAGAGACAAGCTTCAAAGTCAATGGAATTGCCTTCACATTTAAAATCAAGGGAAGAAATTTTCAGGGATGATGGATTTATGAGTGATAACCTTGAAACAATGACTATTGAATCGTCAGGAAAACCTTCAATAGATATATCTTATCACTCATTGGATGAATCTTCTTTACCCGAAGTTAAAAAACTAAGATCACCAACAAAAGAACTTTTTCGTAAAAGTCTAACTCTTACAAGACAATTAACATCGACATCTTTAACTTCTTTAACATCATCAAAAAGTCGTTCGCCTGATCATCGATTTTCATTTTCTTCTTCACCTGCTACTCCTCAATCAAACCCATCTTCCACTTCTCTTCTTATGACCTCTCCAGAAATACCTAGTTCGCCGTCGACAATTTCTACAATGCCTACAGAATACGGAGGTGATCCTGATTTTATTTCATTACCTCCTGCAATTACGGAGAAAAAGAAGAGAAGGTCAACAGATCCGTTACGTGACTTGAAATCGAGAAGGTGGAGATCCAATGAGGCAAATGATGATGATGGGACAATGACGCGATCAATCTCTGAAGGTGGTGGTATGAACTTTTTTTTCACTCCACAAACCAAAAGACAACAAATTTCTTCGGAAAACTTTCGACCTACAGAAAGCAACAGCAACAGTAGCAGTAGAAAGTCTTCATTTTCTATGAAAGGATTATTTGGAAAATTAACGGATTTGGTTTTGGGAAAATATCAAAGTCAATAAATACATTTTGACTTTATATATATATATTGGTTTATTGTAAATTTATCTGTAGAAAACAAAAAAAAAACAAAAAAAAAACGAACAATTATATCATTATCTTTTTTTTTTTGATTTACATTTATATATATATTACATAGATTGGTTTATCATCATCTTATGCATTTTTTTGAAACATTTTTTCTCATTTTTTTTTTCTTTGAGAAGTCCCCGACATTGTTATAACAACCAGCACATGATTTTTTTTATCTTTTGTAAATAGCCCTTTTTTATTTCTTGTACCATTTTTTTTTATCATTTTTTTTTCCTTTCTCTTCTTTTATATATAAATTTTTTTTTTCTTTCTATCAGTGATATATTGTATTATTAACATTTTAACATAAACTTGAATTTTCTTTCTTTTTTTTTCTTTTTCAAATTCAAAACCTTTTTTTTAAAAAATAAAATATCAACCCTTTTTTATATATATATATCTCTCTCTTATCCAAATCATTTTTTTTCTTCCTTTTTATTTTTTGCATCGTTTATTTTTTTCTTTTTTCTTTGTAAATTTTTTTTTTTTATGGATCATTTTTTTTTTTTTTTACCATTCAATATTAGATTTCATTGGGTGCAGAAAATAGGAAATTATTGAAGTTCGGTGAAATATTTAAGGATAA